AACTGAAAAAACTATATTCCTGAGAAAAGGCTTCATCGTTTCTCCCACTAGCTGGAATCATCTTACTTTGATTTGGAAGGTATTTTTTTATAAGTCAGAAAGTGAAACTAAAATTTCTCTTGAAACAAGATTCTTAATGACAAAAAAATGTATCTCTACTTAATAGAAAATCAAAAGGGTGAAAAAAAACGTTGGAATTCATGGTGGTTCCATTGTCTTTTTTAAATTTGAATTTGTGTCAGACTTAAATGAGGACTGTAGGAGATTCCCTTTTCTGCCTTATTTGAAGTGAGTGTATTGTTTGGCTGTTATTTTTATGGTAATGGGGATTAAACCCAGGGCCTTGCACATGCTAGGCAAGCACTCTACCACTGAACTACAGCCCCAGCCCTTTTTAAGAATTTTATTTTGAGACAAGGTCTCACTGAGTTGCCTAGGCTAGCCTTGCACTTGCAGTCCTCATGCCTCAGCCTCCGGAGAAGCTCAGATGATAAGTGTGTGCCACCATGCCCAGTTGAACTTATTATATTTTTGCCGTTACTCTGGGTGAGTTTAGTTTTGAATTCTTTGCAATACCCAGCAGAATGTCCTAGAGCTGAGCACAGCACCTTATTTCTCATGTATTTGGCCAGGAAAGGCCAAATGTGGTGGATTCTGCCCCTTTGCTGAGGAGTGCCAGGCTGGCCTCTGAGGGGAAGGCTGAGCTGTCCCCTTCCCATAGCCACAGCTGCACCTGCTGGGGGAGTCAGAGAAGTTTCTTTGTCCCTGGTCGTGCTTTCTCTTCAATACTCCAAAAAGTGATGGAGGAGGCCACTTGGGTAGCTAGTGATAGAATCACTTGTCGTTGCTAGTGGCAAAAAATCACCAAGAGCTGATGGTCAAAGCAGCCCTGCCCTTGCTGTGAGAGTCACCTTCCAGCGCCTACAGCAGCAGTGACCAGAAGCTTCCAGCCTGGAGCATTTCCCCTTCTGAGTCAGAACTGAGGGGCTGCTCCTGACCAGCTGCCCTTTCCTCATCTTCTCCTCCCTATTTTCATCCAGTACTTCGTATTGAGCACAGGGAAGTATATGGAGCTGAAGGAGACATTATGCAATGTGGCAAGGAGGCGTGTCTGTTCTGAACAGTGACTGCAGGGGCCTTCCGCGGCTCACAGCTGGTGTCACGTACAGCATCCAGGCAGCAGAGGGAGGGAACACCACTGTCCCAGCCTTTGTGGTGTCTTGAAGTTTTGAATCTCGCAAAGTGTGTCTTGTTTTAAGTTTTGCTGTGTTGTGTGGGCACTGGAGACTCTGAGGGGTACAGAATATGAGATGGGACATGTGCTTCGTAGACCAGGTGGCGAAGGAAACATTCGGTGGCGCTGGAGGTGGGCTTGCAGAAGCGAGTGAGACTAAGTGCTGAGCTCGGTCACCACCCAGCCCACACCGAAGAAGCATGACCTCCAGCCGGATGTGGCAGCACACACCTGTAATCCCAGCACCAGGAGGCTGAAGCAGGAGGATCACTGCAAAGACAATGCCAGCCTGGGCTACATCGTGAGTTCAAGGCCAGCCTGAACTACATGGTGAGACCCTATCTCAAAAAACACACAAACAAAGCATGACTTTCATCTCATTCAGCAATAGCGCTTCGCCATGTCCCTTCATGAGGTGCACAGGAACCGAGGGGCTGTGTGTTTGGGGCTTGATCAGAGCCTCCTTGGCAGCAAAGCCTCGAATTTCTTCCCTGCCAGCCACAAAAGGAATTATCCTCACCCTGAAATAGGAAGGGGGAAGAATGTGCCCGTGGCGGGGGCCGGCCATGGCTGTGGTGTGCGAGGGGAAGGGACCGTGTGTGGCTCCATGTGTGAGTCCACTCCGCACTAGCAACCCGGGACGTGGTGTCGCGGCCACAGACTTGGCTGGAATCCACTTAGCTGTGTGGACTCTTCAAACTCATTTCTTGCGCTACAGGACCGTTATAAGACTATACTACTTGAGTTGCTGTGAATTTTAGAAACAACCATCCCTTCTGCCGATGGAGCGCATAGGTGCCCTGCCGAAACTGATTGCAAATGGTGTCACTTTATTCTTACTGTAATACGTGGGCTAGGGATTGTTATCTCCACATTCAAGAGAAGGAAGGTGAAGTGGCGTCTAGGTTCTGGCCACGCAGTGAGGGGCCAGCATCAGGTCTCAGTTCCGGCTCTGTCAGATCCTGACCCCGGGAGAGGTCTGAGTGGTCCAAGTGGTGGCCGGAGTGCAGATGGAGCTCAGCAGGTCACTTCCCCTTCCTCCCAGGTGCAGAGGTCTCTCCACAGCCACAGTTTCACTTTATGTGCTTTCAGTTACCTGCAGTCAACCACGGTCCAAAAACATTAAATGGAAAATTCCCAAAATAAATAGTTCATAAGGTTCCAGTTGCATAGGGTGATGGTATCTTGTGCCATCCTGCTCAGTCCTGCCCAAGATGTGAATCATCTCTTTGGCCAGCATACAGTACAGTAAGATATTTAGAGAGAAAGACATATTTATGTAACCTTTTTTTATTCCTTTTTCTTCCTTTTTTCTTGGGGAGCTGCTTGGTATGTTCAGGCTGGCCTTGAGCTCCTTGGGTTGAAGTATTTTTCCTCCTTAGCCTCTAGAGTAGCTGCGACCACGGGCACCTAGTGCTATGCCAGCCCATGTAACTGGTCGTAATGGAATTGCTCTGTTGTATTGTTAATGTCTTACTGTGCCTACATACACATTTAGCTTTCCCATAGGTGTGAGTGCATAGGAGCGAACACAGTATACATGGAAGGCTCAGACTAGTCAAGGTTCAGGTGTTCTCTGGAGTCTCAGAACACATGCCCCAGGGATTGGAGGGGACTACAGCATGACATTCTCTGGTGCAGATCTGTTGGATGCCCTCATGTGGCTCATTTGGACAACTGTGGTGGTTTTTAAAAAACTTTTAATATATACACAAGTAAGAGTTATTTAAAATGTGTCCCTAAAGTCACTTAAGTGTGTGGTGCTTTTGAAGCCGATGTGATTGTACACACTGAGGGTCCAAGAACAACAGCTTGTTTTCCACAGTTCTGACCTAACATGAACTCTGCAGCGTCGCTGGCTAGTGAGATGCCTGACTGCAGTTGGTGTCGTAGCTCCTACTCGGCTTCACCAGTGTCTTTGTCTGCTCTGTGGTCCTGAAAGAGAAACCTCCTTCCTTCCTGGCCTCTGCTCTTCACAGAGCTTTCTCTCGCCATCTTGCCAAGAAGGGAAGAATTTACATACAAATCTGAGTTTACAGAGATATTTATAAACCTTGGAAAAGTCTTTACCTTTTACACTTAGGAAAGAGGTCAGATCACCAGGGAGTGCTGGATTAATTCAGTCACCAGTTTAAATGCCAGAAAGTCTTTCAGGAAGAGTATTAAAGGTCTGCAGTCCTGACTCAGGAGCTGTATGTCCTGAAGTGAAACTCACTTGGAGTTTTCTTCCCCTGTGCTGTACTGAGTCACGCTTGGGGGCGTGAGCCCTAGGCCATAGTTTGGCCCAGGCACCTAGCAGGGACTCCTCATTCAGTGGCCCCACCAGTAGCAGAGTCAGAGGTCCTGTGTCATGAGTGTCCCGTGCTGGACCCTGGTTCTGTCTGTGCAGTGGTGGGCTGAGTCCAGTGGGAGAGTGTAGAGAGCCCTTCCCAGTCCTTGTTGTGGCCCAGGAAGTTTATATTTGTAATTCCATGGAAAAGTTACTGGAATTCTGGTAAGTTAATTTTAATCTACTGCTTTTAGTGTAACCCATGGGGAGAATAAAGACACTAAGACATGTTTGTAGTTATGGGGAGCCAAGGGGTCCTACGTCCAGCCACAGTGACGGCTAACCAGAACAAAGGCCTCGACCCAGGCCCAAAGCATCAGCATGTGAACACTGTTGGAATCAAAGCAGATTTCAGACACACTGGGTTTTATTTATTTGTGAAGAAGGGAGTGGCTTGAGGATGAGTGACTGTGAGAATGGCAGGAATTAGGTGAGCACTGTGAGCCGGGCTAGGTAGGAGGCCTGAAACCACCTCTGTGATATGCAGAGAGAAGGATATGCAGAAGGAGTCATCTGCATAACACAATTTGAGGGAGTATCTAATGTGTTGGGGTCGGTACTTTAGCTCTGACGTGTGATCTTTTATGCCCTGGGCAGTCAGGGCCTCTTTTCTTGAGGCTCGATCCTAGGGAACGCAGACAGCGTGGACATGGCTCTCTATCTTGTCTTGTCCTGGCTCACACAAGGGTGCAAGGAAGAGGGAGCACTGCCTGCCTTCTTCAGAGACCACCATCAGCACCTGGGCTGGACCGATGTGCACTGCTTAAAGCCAACTGAAGGGACAAGGAACAGTCCCAGCCAGCTCTGTACGTATCAGTACATGGAAATAGGGTCAGGTTCCGCCAAAATGGAGACGATTGCTCCTCCTTCAAGGAGAGTTGCCCAGGTGCCCTCCGCAGGAGAGGGTAAGTTCCCATGTTACTCTTCAAGCACCGTTTAGTGAGAGTGCATGTGGAACCCTCTGACCTTAAACGTGTGTAAGGATTGGCCCTGTCCTTTTCCACCTAAACAACACACAAATTCTCAAAAGATACTAAGTGAACGTGGGAGCAGCAGAGCATTGCTGTGGGAACTCGTGTGTCACAGCAAACTGATCATCTCCAAAGAGTTGAGGCAAGGGCATGTTTTTAAAGGAAAATAGAAGAATTCCTTAAGTAATTTTGAAGCAATAATCCTTGGCTTACAGGATCAGTCACAAGAGTGACAGCCATGCCTGGTTGGCCAAGTGTCCCTGCCTCTGTGGAGGTCTGGTGGCCCGTGAAGGCTGTGGTTTCAGCAGAGTCCTTTGCCGTAGTACTCACCCTCGGGCATTCAGGCACGAGATCGTCTTTGGAACTTCAGCTTTATTGTTCTTGTCAGTCAGGGCTTGACATAACTGGCTCTGCTTTGATTCCAACAGTGTTCACAAGCTGAAGCCTTGGCCCAATTGTGTTTCAGACAACGGAGGGCAGACCCTGGCCGGAGGCAATAACTGGCCCCTTCGAGGAAGAAAATGGACCCTGTGGGAAGGAGGCATCCGAGGCGTGGGCTTTGTCGCAAGCCCCTTGCTAAAGCGGAAGGGCGCGAGGAGCCGGGAGCTCATCCACATTTCCGACTGGCTGCCGACGCTGCTGAGGCTGGCAGGGGGCCGCACGCATGGCACCAAGCCCCTGGACGGCTTCGACGTGTGGGAAACCATCAGGTACTGCATGCATTGCCTTCTCAGATAGGAGCTCCAAGAGCAGCTTGACAGGGTGGGGTGAGAACGATAACTTTTGTGTTGAAATTACAGTTCCTCTTACAAAAATGATCTCTTTTGAGATATGAAATACCTATAGAGATGCTGTAATTATATATTCTTTAAGTTTGAAATTTGGGGTAGCAGGTATGTGTTTTACCTGGAGAGTAAGATTGTCCTCAGCCTTCAGTCCATATGGAAGGTGCTGAGAGCCGAGAGCACTGCTGAGAAGCAGGCGTGTGCAGTGTTGGCTTCCCGCCAGGACCAGGGACCCACCTTGCTGTGTGCTGGGAGAATGGAGCCCAGAGCAGCTGTGCAGGCTCAGGGAATAGGTTCAGCTCCGCTCGTTACCAAGTAAGGGACACCTACTATGTGCTGGTCCCTGTCCTAAGTGCTGAGAATGAGGGGTGAATAAGAGAGGCAAGGGCCCGGCTCTCAAGAAGCATGTATTCTAGTAGGGGAGAAAAATATTAAACAGGTAAGCACACAAACAGCCAGGATGGGACAAAAGGGAAAGGCCGGCTGGTTCCTTGCCACTTTCTGCTTGCCCTGCCCTGAGTTGTTTCCCCTCTGCCATGCCCTCTGCTGTGCTGCCCTGCTTTGGAGCCAGGCAACCAGGGACTGAAACCTCTACAAACTGAGCTAAATAAACCGTTCTTCCCTTAACTTGTGGGTGTCGGGTATTTTGTCCCAGCAATGAGAAAAGTAACTAAGACAGCTGTGAACGCTTAAATGGAAACTCTTGAAGTGCTCTGAGTTTAGGGATGGATGGAAGAGACATCTGGCCAGGCTGCTCAGCCTCTCAGAACATGCGTCTCTTACCTTCTCTCCAGCGAGTGATGTCCAGGAAGGTGAGATGACGAAAGCTCAGGGAAAATCTGATCAATCAGTGTTCTAATTTTCTGGAAGTCATTTCTCAACTCAGAGTTCTAGATTCTCCTTGGAGACTTTCTCAAATTTTAGAGATTGTTTTTCAAACAACAAATTGTAAATTGTTGAGTAGCTATTTCTTAACCTTATTCAAGCTGAACCTTGAATAATACCGGGGGTAGGGTTGTTGGCCTCATTAGGTCAGAAATCCATATATAGTATAATTTAGAAAAAACTATTTAATACCTTTATTAACAGTTGCTTGCAAAGTCAGAGGAATGGGTTTTTTCTAGTTTTTTTTAATATTGTAGACGTTCTTGAGACTGATGAAAATTGTGAATTTATAGAAAAAAGAGTCTAAACGTACAAAAACTTAGCTAGAACTTATATTAGAAATAGGTTACACATTTCTGTGTGATTACACGTGGAAAACTGAAAACTATTCTTCATAAACTTATGCCTCTCTTGCTCATTTTAATGAAAAATTAGTAGCCAATCATGAGTAGCTGTTTAAAAAATAATGACCAATAGCAAATAAAAAGGAAATAAAAATGTCAAGGCAAATCAGAACTTGAATATCAGTTCAGGTTATCACTGTTGAGGTTTTACTTAAAGAAGTTTAAAAAAAACTTCGGTTTTTGATACAACAGCATTTGTAGCACGCCTAACAGTAGTTAGTTTTTAGTCTTGTGGCATTTTGGTAACAAAACTATTAGCAACCCTGGCTTACGAGGGCACACAGCAGCGACTATGCCAGAGCTGAGCTCAGTGGAAAAGCAATAAATTCATTCTGAATAATTTCTTTTGTCCTCATTTTACTGAGGTTATTTGTTTATTTGTTTGTCTTTTTGAGACAAGGTTTTGCTATGCAGTCCAGGCTGGCCTTGAACTCACCTCAGCCTCTCTAGTGCTGGGATTACAAGCCTGCTCCACCATGCCCGGTGTACTGGAGTTATCCTCTTTGGCAAAGTCCACATCATTAATGTTCACTCACATCACCAAATTGGATTATAAATGCATATTTCAACCTTAAGGTTGTCTTGGTCAGAAGTGAGTTGTAGAGTGGGGTGCCATTTGCTTTGGTCTGGGGAGGAGCTGGTGAGAAACTCAACCCTGCCCACCCGCAGGACACCTCTCCTGGGCCTTGGAATGCTCTCCTCCAGAGCAGGCTCCTGGAGCCACCGTGTGAGGTTGACTGCAGGGCTTTCGATCTGACCAAAAACGTTTTACATAAGACTGCTAAATCATGACAGTTAGCTTTCCTTTTCTATTTAAAAAAAATAAGGTAAAATTTCTATCCAAAGTTTAATAAAACATTTTAAGATTCGTGCTATGGGAATACGGCAGATTTCCACTTAGTAAGTAAAGAACTGCGCTCATCCCACTCTTATTTTTTGATGAAAGTTCTCGTTTGTTGATGGAAGAGGAGTCCAGCCTCTGGCTCTGAAGGAGCTGCTGCTCGCAGAGCATGAAGGCAAGCCTTCTTTTGGGCACACAGCTGCTGATAGAGAAACCAGCCAGTCACACTCACATCAGAGCGTCCTCTCTAAGCGGCACAAACAAACGAGCAGCCAAAAGTCAGAGACACTTGATCTGTGCCCAGAAATTAGAACTTTTTTCCAGAAATGGAAATACCATTTTTGAGGTGATGGTAGTTTTCGAAAATTTCAAAAGGGGTTCATGAAATAGGAATACCAGTTGTCTTAGTTACTTTTTCTATTGCTGAGACAAAATATCCAACACTTGCAGTTAAAGGAGGAAAGGTTTATTTAGCTCACAGTTTGTAGGGGTTCAGTCCGTGGTTGGTGGGCTCTAAGGCAGGTGATGCAGCAGAGGGGCGTGGCAGAGGAGGAACAGCTCACAACTGGCAGAAGGCAGCAAAGCAGTGAAGTAGCAGCAGCAGGCAGCAACCTACCTTCTCTCTGTCCTTTTATGGTCCATTCAGGCTATCCACCTTTGACCAGTGCCACCCACACCCAGAGCGGGGCACCCTTAATCCCAGCATCCACTTTAATCCTTGCATCACACTCTAGATTCAGCCACCTCTGAAAATCCCCACCTATGAGTGTCTGAGACTTTGGGGGGACATCTAGACACAACTGTAACACCAGTAATGGAGGAAAAGCATAGCTGGTTGTGCTAGGAGCATCAGAGATTAACTGGTTATATAATTATCAATTCCTCTTCAACTTGCTTCAACGTATTAAACTTTGAGGAGAAATATTAGCATTTCTGAGGTGAGTGACATTATTTACAATGAGAGCTTTTCAGCTGCTTCTGTTTTTCTTCTTTGTCATTTCCAGCTTCTCCAAGCACTTTCCAAGTCTGTGTAGTTTGTGTACTTTTCAACTTGATATGGAACTTTCAGGTTGTTTCAAGACATTTCATAAGCTTAGTTGCCAAAAATGAAAACCAAAAGATTCGTATTCCATAGGCTGCTTTTTGCTCATGTTATCTGTAAACTTAATACCAAACAAAAGCAGAGCCTCTGACGGTCTGGTCAGAATGGTGTTTCTCATTGATGGGAAAGTCTTCCAGATGGCATAACACAATAGTGGTGACAACTGAATATTAACTGAAAATATAAAATATGCCAACAACTTGATATTGATATAGGGGAAAGAAACTCCTGACCTGCTAGATACCTGGATGAGTTTGTGTTCTCTAAAATTGAAGAATGAATTTTAGGAACAACAGAGGTGAAGAGCAGAATATATTTATTGAGGGAAAGAAAGCTTCTGTCTGAGAGAGGGACAGAAGGGGGCCTGAGTGGATTGCCAAGGAACTTGCCTTTTTTAGGGACTTTTATAGAGCAAAACCACAACGTGATGTGGGTCCAAGGTGGGGAACCTGGGAAATTGCAAGGTGGGACAGAACTATGGCCAGCCAATAAGATGACAAGCATAACTGCTCAGGTAAAATTGACTAAGTAGGGATCAAATGGGGAAGTGAGACAAGTAATAAGCAGGCATGAATACAGAACAGGGGCTTTTCCCATAGGCCATTGGGTCAGTGACTCTTCCTGGTCTTTTCAAGGTGATCGCTACCTATTTAGAGTATCAAGCCCTGATGTCCATCCCTAGGGAGGTATGTGGGTGCATTTATTTCTTCTTTTGTCTTGAGTTCTGGCCCACAGTGGAAGCACCTGTCTCTCCCACAGTTGCAAGTTATCTTGTCTTCCACGCTGGCTCCTTCAAGGGCCCAGCCCGGTATGCCTGCCTGTAATATTCCTATCTAATTTAACTGCCTACAACAATATGACATTATGGAGACTTTTACCCTATAAATTCAGGTTCAATAAGAAAGTTAAAAAAAAATCACTTTTCATTCCAGTTTCACAGATAACATGAAACCAGTGAAGCATGATTGTCCCTAAGCCCGAGGTTAAGAACCTTTGCTCTTTTTTCTTTATTCCAAATATTAACAAAGTGACCCTGACGGATTGTTGAATAATACTCCCTTTTCAGTGACTACAGCACCACTTTAATTATGTGTTAAGCTCTCATTTGCTTTACTCTGTGGACCCATCTGCTCCCACTTGTAATCTCTGACTTGACTCCCTTTTGTCATCTCTAGCAGGTGTTTCAATCCTGTGGAAATTTATCAGCCATACCTGCATTATATTTCCTTTATAAAATTTTCTTGACAAGTCCCGCTTTTTAATTTTTGCCTGATGAACTCTAGAATTATTTTGCCAAGTTGCAAGGAAAGCTTTTTATAAACTGAATTGGAGGAGAGTAGACCTGTAAATTGATTTTTAAAAATGACACATTCATGCTTACTGCCTGGACACTTAATATTGTTGCCCAGCTTACTGATGTGCTCTTCACTTTAAGGAATATTATTTTTTCTTTGGATTTGATTTTGAACGTTCCCTCACTAAGCTTTCAAGTTTATTCACTTTTTTGCAGTATCTAATCATCCATTCATTCTATCTAGTATATTTTACATCTCGTACATTGTAGCTTCCACTTCTTCAAGCCAGCTGGGTCTGCTGTGTCGTCTGTGTCCCTGGGCAGCTTCCTGAACAGTTAGAGTACAGTTAGAATAGCTGTAATAGCTGTTCAGTGCCCTGCCCACACCGACGTGTGCAG